TCCAGGTTTGAGGGACATCACTACCTACCACACCCTCTTCCTATTGTCCATTCTGGGTTCACTGGCTCTGCTGGTGCTCATCCTGCTCTGTGTGCTGCTCTACTACTGCAGGTGTGGCGAGCGTAGGCACAGGTCTTACCTTTAGGTTCATATTTGCAGGAAAATTTACAAATGCAAAATAGATAGTTTAACATGCATATATTGCTATACATAAGAAGTTTTCTGAGTTCTGATTTCTAACATTTAATTTCCAGACGAAAATGTCTAAAACCTCGCCGACATCAAGGCAAACCCCACTCATCCAATCTAAATGGAGCTAAGAGAGACCAGGGAACATCAACTTCACGTCTGAATCTTATCTGTGGAGGCCATGTGGAATCAGGCCCCTCCAATGACAAATCTGAAATGTCTCCATCTCGAGACTACAAGAGTTCAAGAGAAGACCTGACTAAGCATGTTCCAGCTCATATGCTTCGACATGCCAAAGGGAAAAGCACCTCAGGTTCCCAGCGGGGAGAGAGCTTCCCCATGAAGGTCACACGTGCCACTGAGACCAACAACCTGGACAACCCTTTACTGCATGAAGACTACAATCGAAGCTACAGCCCCAAGGAGAGCAAGGAGTCTGAATACCACAGACATCACAATGCCAATGACAATCGAGGATACTCGTCTGATCCCCCGTCTCCACCTCGCTTCCAGGGATATGTACCAAGTCAGTCTGACAAACCTCCAGAATATTCAGCAGCAGCAGCAGATAGCCTTGCCAGACCAACTTCCCTTAACACCCAGCCAGGTCAGATAATCTTCTGCAGCTCCATTGACCAGATGAAGGAGAACATGTACAGGAGCATGGTGCCAACCCTGGTTATCCCAGCACACTACATGCGCCTACCTTCTGAGTTCTCTGGTAAGGATGGGAAGGATCAAAAGGACCAGGACAAAGATGGAACCCAGATGGGAGGAGGCCAGCAGCATCATCACCACCACCACTCCCAGAAACAAGGCCAGCAGCAACAAAGTGGATCTCAGGGTGATGACTCTGAGGAGCCAAGCTGGGCCTCTGACTCCTCCGGTGGAGCTGTGACCATTCCTGTGCTCTTCAACGACTCCACGATGGCTCAGATGAATGGGGAACTGCAGGCTCTGACAGAGAAGAAGCTCCTGGAGTTGGGTGTCAAACAGCACCCACGAGCATGGTTCATCTCCCTGGATGGACGCGCTAATGCTCACGTCCGTCACTCCTACATCGACGTCAGCAATGACCTCAGCGGTGGCGGTTTTGGAGGTGGCTCCAGTAGCGCTCAGCGAGATGTGAACCTTGAGCCGCCTCTTGAATCTCAAGAGAGAAAATCATCGGGTAATCGTAAGGGAAAGGATGAGCGCTGGGGGACAGGAGGACGGAAGGGCCACGGCATCAGCAGTGGCAGTGGAGGTGGGAAGAATTACTCCAAACTTGCCTACCCTGACCACAGCGAGCCCAGCAGCACCGAGGGACGCCCGGTGTCACCAGAAGAGAATTCCCTCACTCCTCTTCTTGATGAAGGGTCGTCCTCACGTGGATCCACCATCCCCAGAAGAGGTCGCAGCCGAGGGAACAGCAGTCGCAGCAGCAACAGTGAGAATCGCCGCGACTCTATGACAAGCCCTGAGGATGATCCCGACGACAAAGATGAGAACAAGAAGAGCCCCTGGCAGAAGATTGAAGACAGACCTCTCATGGTGTTCCACCCTAGGAAGTGAGATTTTCAAACTTAGTGAACACTGGATCTTTGATGAACTTTGAGGTGGACCGAATTTTCCCTTCAGGAAGATCCCAATAAGCACAACCACTGCTTCACTGGTCCACTTTCTGGTTGTTGTTTGACCTTTCTGATGATTGTTTCAGTTGACCCCTCTGATTTCTGCTGATTCTGTCCAGTTGATTGTGTATCCTTTGACTTCACTGAACCATCATCTGAGCCATCCCTATTGCCGACTGTGGATATAGCCATTTTGTAGAGTGAAATACAAAAATAGAGCACTTAAAATTTGATGACTGATTGATACTTACCAAATATAACTACACAGATTACTTGTTTTATGGGATTTATTTATATGTAGCCAAATTAAATCCCTTACATTGATGCTAAATTCACTCAAAATCTCACTCTTTATTTCTAAATAGTGATTAGAAAGGGATTGTATGAAGGAAAGAACATCTCAAAGACTGGAGAAGTCTAAAATGTGTCACATTTTTCTGAAGCACTTGTGAACAAATGTTTTATTTACATAAGAAGAAATAATTTCTTCTTCCTCCTTTACTGTGTTAATGTATTGTGATCTCTTGTTTAAATCGTACTGGTTTGAAATTTTAAGCATAATCTTAAAGTCAACCTTTGTGTCACTGACTTATCACAGTGATGTACTGTACAATTTGCCAAAATGTCTGCCTTTTTCCTGTTGAGATTTTTTTGGCCAGAAGAACCTTTCTGTGTAAATATACCCTCAAATATTTGAGTGACAATTTGTTATAGAAAGATTGCATGCATATGAATGTATGAAGTCAAGAGAAGGCACCAAAAGACCCAGCTCTACTGTTCTTTAGGCTCCTGTGCAGCCAGTCCGTAATCGCCACAATATGTCTGCAACTCAGCATAATTACTAATTTACTTGAAAATTCACTACTGAGATACACACAGTGGATTGCATACAAGGCCTGTACCACTTCTCTCCTGTAAGTGCCTTCTTTCACATAGAATCGAGTGATAGGCATGGTTTATAAAATGCAGTTAGTTGTCACCTAAACCACTCCGTCGAAATCGACAGGCACTAATAAGCACACTGCATTGAGGTAACAACATGTGACATTGAGGAGCATGCCTGCCAAATCTGACAGCTTTTCTTGTGGCTATTCTATCCTTGGATATCTGACATCTTGTAATTATCCTGTTTTTCACCAAACTTGTAAATGTTCTGATGAATTCTATGAGATTTTATGTGTATAAAACGTGCATGTAACATGTAGTATAGGGTGTTTTTATTGAAACCTTTTCAAAGATGTTAATGAGGATATTTGGCACAAAACATCACAGTTCCAGTGAATTCTGTTGCCAAATAAATTAAGATACACTGACTTTTCTCCCTAAAGAGTTAATTATTTGCTTTTTTGGTGGGATTGTGTGGGAAAACTTTCAAGCTGGTGTGGACAGCAGTCAGAGCAAATTTGGCTTAAAAAAATCAGAAATACAATCAGATAGATACAATCAGAGTAGAGCTAGTAAATTATCACAATTGAGCCAACAGCTAATTAGAGCCAAGTCAATGATATTAAGAGATCAGTGTGAAGTTAATCATAATCAATTCATCTATTTGAGATTAAGCAAATAACTACCCAGGGTTAAGAAAAAATAAAATTTTAGCCAAAGAAATAGCTATTGGGTCAATTTTACATCCAATTCAAGGGAATGGTTACCAAGTCAAGCTACAATAAATGCAGCTAACACTTGCTCAAAATAAAAATAGCAGCTATCCAAAATCAAGCTAACAGGTACTCAAAGGCCATGGCTTCCTTATCAAGTGGTACAGGGTAACTGTTGACTATTTTTTCAATTTGTAATTAATTTTTTTCCCCTGATTTTCCCAACTAAGACCAATTTGAGTGCTTTCTACTACTGATAAGCTACTGACTGCATGCGCTTTCTCCACACAACTCCGCTTTAAAAGCACTTAATCTCTTTAATCTTGCTGTTAACAAAATTTACTTCCGGTCATAAATGTTTACAAGAACAACATACTGACCAACATGCTCCCGCTGTTACTAGCATCACTGCCTGATTCATCAGCAACTGTGAACTGAAAGAAGTTTTTTGTTGTGTGTTGCAGAGTTATCAACTGAATGCATAAATATTGTTGGAAAAGTCATGCTGGAGGGTTTTCACCATCCGCCTGCTGTTCGTATGCTTGTGTCACACGCCTACAGTACAAACTGAAAATGCGATGTAATTCTAGGGAATAACCACAAAATCAATCTAGCTGACTTGTGTTGTTCACTTGGTAAATGTAAAGATTTTTTAGTAGTTGGACAAATTATGAATTTTTTTATAAAGTGTGAAGTTGTCGCTTTCTTTGCCTAAGTTTCTTTTACACACAAGTTGGGTTTTTTAAGTTAGCGTAGATAACTTGCATCCCACAAACATTGCAAATGATTCACACAACTGAATCCCCTGTGCAGTTCACTTTGTTGGATTTTGTGCATATGAAGGTCAGGAGGTCAGAACTGTAAGCCATCATCCTGTTCACTAAATCATATGCATCATGCACCTGGTCAGTTGTTTGTAAACTGTAAAATTGATTCTTTCTGTAAATTAGACAAGATACAAATAAATTTCATCCCACATTACTTGTCTTTGGAATGTTACTTTCAAAAACTTGTGACGACAGCGTTATGGGTTAGTTTTCAGATTATGTCTAAAAATTGGAGTAGAAACACACACAAAATCAGCACAGATGTCAGGAAGAGTATTATTAACCTCCACAAATCTTGACTTATTATTTGATAGAGTTCCAGAAATGTCAATGTGGCATGTGCATCTGTTGAGACAATGACATGTCTCAACAGACGTGTACCATTAAATAAGGGTACAAGATTTATGTCTCAGCAATGTACATATTTGGGTCCAAATGTGAATTTGAAACCTAAAATAAAAAAACAATAGATCTTGTGGAGTTGTTGGTTGAAACAGGTAAATCAGATGCTGTACCAACAAGTTTGCTATGAAGAACTCACTACTCCAAAACAACAAAAACGCAGGTTGCAATGTGTTCTACAATTTACTTTGTGTGTAAAATACATAAACTTTTGAGACATCCTGTGTTTTCATGGAGCAAAAATATGTAAGTGTTTTAACCTTTAGCTCTAAAACTTTACAATTAAAACATGTCGCTATCCCTACTAAAAAGAGCTTAATGAAATGCCATCGTCGGAGGGACTGTTCCTTTAAAACTGAGCAACATGGAAGGTCACGTGTGAGCCTATCATGTGACAAATGCCTTCAAAATTTGCAGCAAGTTGTTTTTGTCTTCTTAGAACACTTCTCATTCCACCTATTACATCTGCCTTCATAAAACTGCGAGGTAAAGTTGCCATGTTTGTTTGTTTTGTATCGTGAATAAACGAGGAAAGTAGTTCATGGCAGCTGGCGTTGATGCTAGCCACTTAGCCCGTTAAGCTAAATAGATTAATTTGTATTACAGTAGCTAAGTCACTCTTTACAGGCTCAGTATTACGAGAGAGTATTTGCACAGCTTTCTTAAAAAACAGGTCTAGCTCATCTATCCGTCAGTTAATTGTTTTTGTTTATTTTGCTGAATTTGTTTCTCAGGTTTTGAGAGGAGTATGCAGCAGTACCCAGAGCTCTAATAACAGCTGAACTGTTTTTGCCTCCCTAAAGCCATCTATTCACAATGGTAAAGTATTAACAGAACCTGCAGCATGTCCTTATTTCCAAGTTCACTGTAAATTGTGGTATCACAATTAAAACACGTTCCTATGTCTACTGAAAAGTAGTTTTGTTTGAAGCCATCTTTTTAAGCAGCTACCAGCAAATGTGGATAGATCTGGAAAGCCGCATATTTGTCTCTCAATGGGGGACATCCCCGTAGCTGCAAAGTGAAAACTTACAACAAAAAATAACTACCAGTTTCCACAAAAAATAGGAACAAAAATCAAAAAGCATGTAGTGAATATAAAGTGTTCATACTTTTTAGATTTTGCAATAAGTTATACAGATGCATACAGAATTACGTCTCTGCAATAAAAATGTAAAACCTTTTACACCTGGAGTAAACAATACAGATGGATATTTGTTCTAAGACAAGTCTGTTAATTCACTAAACAATTACCATTTTCACTTGGAAATGTATGAGAAACAAAACTCATTGTTTCTCATCTTATAGTCTTTCATAGAGTTTTAACAGCTGCATCCCTTTTGCGGAGAGCAGCAAAAGATTCACTTTACCGGTTAACTTAAATAAAAACAAAAAACAAAATACTTTGATGTGATCTCTTAACATCTTATAAAACTCTACATATTTTTGTGCATAAAAGGGGCATAGCTTTCCGGAAAGTCTGAATTACTTCAGTGTTGCAATCCATGTTATCAAGTGGAATGTTTGCAAAGCTGCTGCACATAGTTTGTTCTTTACACTGAAACTGAGACAATGAGGGTGCTGGTCTTGTATAAGAGCACGCTTTATCACACTGTATTGCTGAGCGCATGTTTTCTTCTCATTTTGTTCAGACTCTTCAAATGGGGGTCTTGTTTCTAGCATTGCTGGGCCTGAGCGCAGCATTGATCTGCCCTGATGGAGGCATGTGTGAAGATAAAAACACCTGCTGCAAGAACACTCAGGGAGGTTATGGCTGTTGTCCGCTACCACATGTGAGCTACTCATTTGTCAGTTTCTTCAAGCCAAAGCATAAAGCTACATCTTTTGTCTATATCAAGAAAGTTTTGCTTGCCTTTTGTGGTTTTGTTTCCGTAACAAACTCTTTCTTTTGATGCACAAAGTATGTCCGCTGCTGTAATGTCAACCTTTCTCTTCTGTCTTGAATCCACACACAGGCAGAGTGTTGTTCAGACCACCTTCACTGCTGCTACCAGGGGACCGTGTGTGATCTGGTCCATCAAAAATGTATTAATAAAACCGTTTCACTTCCATTGATAAAGCGACTTCCGAGTAAGCAGATATCATCTCCCTCTCAGGTAACAGAAAGTTGTAATTCTCACACTCTGTTTCCTATCTGACCTTCTGTATTTTATTTCTTATTTTTTTTTAGAATTGTTAAAAGATGTCACTGGAAGGCACCAGTTGTTTTATTTTTATTGGCCCAATATTAGTGTTTAGGCAACAGAACACTGAGTTTCATTATTCTGCTCAATGTTGCTCTACTGTGTGAAAAGTGGTTGGTTATTATGGTTCTGAAGTTTATGGGATATTGATGGTTCCAGCTCATCAGCGGAATAAAGGCGGTCATGTGTCCGGACCATGAGTCGGAGTGTCCTAATGACACCACCTGCTGCCAGCTTTATGATTCTTCTTGGGGTTGCTGTCCGTTACCCAAGGTAGAGACTGTATATCTGCATGTTTCTATTTCATTCCACTCTTAACCCTGAAATATTACAAGGAAGCTGATTTGATTTTGATGCTTGAATGTTCCACTAGGATCAGTAATGTATTGCAAACACAGTGTAACGTACTTATTTTAGGGCATTAATCTACAAAGTGTTGAAGCAGAAATATATATGCAAATATATATATTTTTTGTATGTTTGTATTTTTTTGGTGATTCAGGACTAGAGGACAATGTCCTCACTGACTCAGTCTTCATCATAATCAGGACGCATTTTCTTATCTTTGCAGGCAGTTTGCTGTGAGGATAAACGCCACTGTTGCCCTGGAGGATCAAAATGCGATCTCGTCCATTTAAAGTGTGTTTCTTCGTCACTTGGGTCATTCCCGATGCTGGAAAAACTACCAGCAAAAAGATCAAAGGATAGGCCAGGTTAGAAATTTCTCTTGTAACAGTTTAAACCAGAGCAGCAAATTCATATTAGTAATAATATCCAGGTAGTTTTAATTGGGGATGAGGGAATAAAACATATTTGATTCTCTGATCTTTATCCATTTGTAGTTTCTGTGGCTGGTTCAATAATTTGTCCTGATGGGAAAAGCAGCTGCCCAGATGGTTATACATGCTGCGTCCAGGCCAGCGGACAATACGGCTGCTGCCCTTACCAAGAGGTACGCTTTAAAACTACTTGTCAGTCATGAAATTCATTATTTAAATCATGGTGTCAGAAACTTCTATTTATTAATCATCGGCAAAAATTAAAATTTTGGGCTTTAACCCTTTTTTCCAGTCCACCCAGAGTAAGAAATATACAGGTTCAAATATACATTAATTGGAACCTGCTGAAGTTTTTCAAAAGGCTTCTTATTATTACTTAGACAATCTAACAAAGACAGCCATCAGAATGTGGACATGTAAAAGAGTGCGGTTTATTACTGTTATTGCAAGTAAATCTAGTATAGCCGCATGCAGGCTAGTTAATAAACGCACATAGCTCGCCTTTTGATGATTTCAAACAGCTTCTCCTCCCAACTCTTTGGTACCTTGCGCTCTATACAGCACTATATGCTGGCACCAAAATGACCAGAAGCAACAATATTCTGCAAATTAAGTAGAAGTTCTGCTTTCAGCAGGTGCTCATTTTGTATTGCACTCTCTCAACTCCCGGTGTGTTTGTTTTAACATTTAAAAAATCTCAAAAACAAGGTTTGCTACTCATTGTGGAATTTTTTTTTTCCTTCTTTCTTTCATTTTTTTAATTGTATTTTTATTTATTTGCTTAAAAGGAACATTGTGCATTAATAAACACTGCAGTAAATGTGAATTTACACAATTAGATCTCCAGTGTTTGTCCCCATGACAGACTGAATTAGTTATTAAAGTGAAAAACAAACAAGACAGAAAAATGGGGGAGGAAACCATTTTGAACAATTGTATAATTTTTAAAAAAAAATCACAATTTTATGTTGTGACCCAGCCTTCCATAAAAACATATATGCGCACATGCACATCATATACATGACACTACTCTGAGTCAGTTTCACTGACTATTTACACATTTGAGTGAATACAACCAATCCCTCTGCGACAGACTGGCGACCTGTCCAGGTTGACCCCGCCTCTCGCCCGGAATGTAGCTGGAGATAGGCAACAGCACCTCCCAACCCCGTTAGGGAGAAGGGTGCTCGGAAAATGGATGGATGAATGGACAACCAATCCTTTTGACTGCTTTAAAAACTATTAAAAGTTGGACATTTTCTGATATTAACTAGAAGGTCGTTGCAGAACTTAACACAATAACAGGCAACAGTCTGACCTTGGTTCGTCTAAGTGGAAACCACGAAACGCACATAGCTCGCCTTTTGATGTTTTCAAACAGCAGCTCCTCCAAACTTTTCGGTATCTTGTCCACTATGCAGTGTTAAAACAAAATGTATATTTTGTTGAACAAGTGCAAGTTGTTGTGCAATTGTGTGTAAATGATTAGAAACTTTCTGAACAATTCCCCGCTGCAGGCTGAGTCATTTGATCTCTGCACACTGTGTTCTTTTGTTGTAATTCAGTCTTGTTTTTAACTCTTTATTTATGTTTTCATCATATGAAGGCCACATGTTGCAATGATCATCTCCATTGTTGTCCAAGCAACACAACATGTGACCTAAAGCATGGAGTCTGTAAGTCTGGAGGGAACGAAGTGCCACTGACAAAGAGGATTCCTGCTGTGTCCCGTGATGGTAAGCTGCCTTCACTGTAAAAACCACTGATTCAGATTTACTTTTGCTGTGCCAATAAACTTAGAGCTTTAAAAGGGAGGGAAGAAAGTTCTTAAAGTGAAGATTTTGATCTGTGACCTTTTCTAAGTGGAGTGTCCAGATAAGAAAACGGTCTGTCCTGATCAGACAACCTGTTGCCAGTTGACCAACGGATCGTTCGGCTGCTGTCCAATGCCTGACGTAAGCATCACACTCTAACATGAAGGAACCTGATTTTGTTTTATGTTTCAGTAAAACACCATTAAATAGATGGTACCAAGAAAACAAGAAATGACAATAACAACACTGAACACAGTTTACTACTCGCAAATGGGGTTTATATTATGTAAAATTTATTTATACATAAAATTTTAAAATAGAAAAAGTGCTTCATCATTACACCAATGGTGAAGCAAAACTATAACAGAAAGTAGAATAAAACTAATTGCCAGGAAGTTTAAGATATTAAAGATTGGCATTGATGTTAAATATAGTTTGATATAATTTGTGTAATCCTGGGTAAAACTACCAGATTTCACACTTTTAAGTTATCTGTGCTATTACTCATTTAAAGATAAATGGCACAGCAGAGGGGTACCCCTGCTGCATGCATGATTTATTCATCTATCACAAGCATAGATGTTTTATCGAACCCTTATTAAACAGAAGAAATGCCAGAATCAAAGAACATTTTTTGTGTTCCTTTTTGTATTAAATTAAATTAATTTTGTAGTTGAATAGATGAGTATTAAGACTTCTTCCTGTTGTCTCGCAGGCTGTCTGTTGTTCAGACCACATTCACTGCTGCCCTTCAGGGACAAAATGTGACCTGACACACAGCACCTGTGTGTCCGTCCAGGAAAACCCTCCCTTGCCCATTAAGAAGCTCCCGCCCATGACGGACCAGAGGCCAGCGCAGAGCAAAGGTCAGTAAAGAGGTCAAAGTTACAGGAGACTGAAACTGAATGTCAGATTTGCTATATTAACACATATTAATCAATGGGCACATAAGCTCACAGGATGGCCAGCAAAGTAGATTTGTAGTGTTTCCAAACTTGGTTGTTTATTACAATAATATTTGTCGACTTAAATATGATTAATTTTCACTTAACTTCAATAGAAGCTGATTATCAGGCTTTAGTTGAATAGAAATCATTTGAATCAAGTGTGCTGAAGCAGCAAAACATAAAACATGCAGGACAATGTGTGAGGTGTGCACTCTGAATGAACACAACATAAAGGCAGGACTAATGATGCCCAAGATGCCTCTCTTTTCAGGGCTTTTGTGAAAAATTAGGTCTGCCATAGATGTCTAATTATTTAGCTATTTTGGCTCATTAGAGTCTCAAAGTCACCACCACAGTGTTGCCTGTTGGCATTTAATTAGAACCAACCTGGGATAAACATGGAAAAAAAAAAGCTGCCAAATCTCATGTTTTTCCAAAATAAAAACAAAATGTGTGGAGCTATAAAGCTGTAACTGCACTGAATCTAAGTGTTTGAGAAAAGGTGCAAAAGAAACCGACTAGTCTAAAACATTTTAAGTCCATCTGTGTTTTATGAGTTTAACAGCTGGAATAAAGTTTATGTACTTGCTTTAATGTAAAGTTTCTGTTTTGTCTTTCAGTCCATGCTGTTTCTTGTAATGCCTCTGTGGCCTGCGCTGACGGAAACACCTGCTGTAAATCCCCAACAGGAAAGTGGGCCTGTTGTCCTTTACCTCAGGTACGGTCAGGTTGACGGCTCATCAGGTGGTTTCGCTATTCCAGCTGCTCAGTTAAACTCCAAACCAGCTTTCTTGATGAAATTACCACACGCTTGACTCCCTTTTTCTTTTGTTATGGCCTCATTGTCTCTCCTCTTTGCAGGCTGTGTGTTGCGAGGACCACCTGCACTGCTGTCCCAGTGGCACTATCTGTAACCTGGCAACCTCCATGTGTGATCATCCCTCAGGTGTAGCGCTGATGCCGCTGCTCCCCAATACGCCCGTCTTTCCTCTGCTGACAGAAAACAGCAAGTGTGATAAATCCACGTCGTGTCCCGGTAAAGCTACCTGCTGCAAGACGGCGAGTGGGGGATGGGCCTGCTGTCCTCTACCCGAGGTAACCTGGACTTCAGACTGGTTGTCTATCCCTTGATTTACAGCACTGTTCAAATCCTTTACCACAAGCCAGGCTCCACAGGATTTCTCAAGTTCCTAGGAATTTCTCTGCTCGCTGTTTTGTCAATCAAGCTGTTTAACCTTTTGTAACTCTTAGATTCAGCTAAAGAATCCATTCATCCATCTGCAATCTAGGATTGTCAATATATTGATCAATCTATTTGCCTCCCTGTGCGTCCGTCTGGCAGATCATCTGTTTAGCTCTTTAGTTACATGATTTATTCAGCTATTTATCCATTCTTCTTCCATTTACATATCTGTTTAGTTTTTTTGCATTTGAAATGAGAAATGTGGAAAAGTAACAAATTAGATGTTTTTAACTTTTATCGTTACTCAGTTTTCAGGTCACTTGTTGCATTTTCAAACTTCGGGAAGGGAAATTAAAGTACCTTCAGAAAACTCAAAGTACTGTTTTAACATAAGGAGGTACCCCTTGCTGCTAGAAACTAAAATGTATAGAAATCAGGATTAGATTTCTCAATTATTCTTTAAACATCAGGATAATTGAGAAAGCCAAACTGAGGTCATGCTATTAATCAGCTCAGAGTTTAAGCAAAGTGATCAAAATGTAAAAACTGCAATTTATATATCCTTCAGGCTGTCTGTTGTGACGATCACATCCACTGCTGTCCTCACGGCTCTGTTTGCAACTTGGAGACTGAAACTTGTGACGACTCCTCTGGTGTCTTTCCGCCGCTTCCCCTGCTGACCAAAGTTCCCGCTTTGACCAGTCGAGTTCAACAGGAGAAACTCATGTGTGACGGTCAGACCAGCTGCCCAAAAGACACGACCTGCTGCTTCATGGAGAGAACCCACAAATGGGGCTGCTGCCCTCTGCCGGAGGTAGGAGTCTGCTTGTTTTATACGGAGCATGTCATCAGGATGCTGAGTAAAAGCTACTACTTTCCAGGCAGTGTGTTGTAAAGATGGAATCCACTGCTGCCCCAGTGGACACACTTGTGACCCCCACCGGTCCTTGTGCTCCAGCGGCCCTCATCGAATTCCCTGGTCCACCAAACTTGGCGCTCTGACCGAGCTGCGTGCGTCGTCCGACGTTAAATGCGACAACAGAAGCAGCTGTGCCACAGGAACGACCTGCTGCAAACTGCCTAGCGGCGAGTGGGGCTGTTGCCCGTTGCTGAAGGTTTGAGCAGCTGACTTTATGTCAACCCTGATAAAGATGAAAACCTGTTTAGCTGTGTTGAGGTCTAACCCGTGGCATATTCCTCCTCCTTTTCAGGCGGTTTGCTGCCCTGACCACGAGCACTGCTGTCCTCAGGGCTACACATGCAACATGGAGACTAAAACATGTGAGAAGAAAGGCTACAATTTGCAGCTCACTCCTGCTCTTCTGAGTAAAGTGGAAGAGTCTGCGTTGAAAGAGGCAGTGGAGGAAACAAACGTACAATGTGACGGCACCGGAGTGTTTCTCTGCCCCCCAAAATCCACCTGCTGTAAGATTTCCGCTACAGAGTGGAGCTGCTGTCCCTTTGTCAAGGTATGTCCACGGTGTCTCGGTGTCTTACCACAGTTTGTATGAAAAGTGAAAGATCCAGCCATTTGTCAGGCTGTTCATATGTCTGTAGGTTTGTCCACTTAATTGTGTTTTTAAGATTTCTGGGGTTTCCAGGTTTAGCCTTTGAAGCGTAAGATCACTAGAAATATCCCTAACAAAGTGCCTAATATTTATTAATAAATCCCAATCAATCCAGAATTTCATTTTATTTATCCTGTTCCAGTTGATGATTTTACTAAGTTTATGCACATACACGGTAAACTGAAGTGGACTGTGCACAAAGCCCTGTTGTACATTGTAACAAACTGTTGTAGATTTGTTGTTTAACAAAACTAATTGTTGGATATATTTTGAGCCTGGTTTAAAAAAATCTACATGTTTTGTCAAAACAAATATCAACTAACTCCACAAGCATCCTGGTAATTCCTAAGGATACTGGAAACGTCCTCTGAATGTCCTCACAATCTCTCCTTTGAGCGGTCAGCTGTGTATGTTCACTTCTAATGTTAGTCCTAGATCTTACTGGCATTTAAGACCACTATTGTTTTCTGCCACTCCACCATGAATGAAAAATCAGTCTTCTAATCTAGTTAACTGATAAATACAGCTTTTAATAAACTTTTTTTGTTTGTTTTCTAGGCTGAATGCTGTGCAGACATGAAGCACTGCTGTCCTGTTGGGTATTCATGTGACCTGAAGGCTGGAGGTTGCATTCCACAGACCCAGCTGACCTGGGATACTTTGCTGGGGGTCAGACATAAAGACTCGGTCCATAGTGGACTCTAATCTGGCAGATGACCTGCACCACGGAATCCTTTCCATCAATCCATTGCTTGTTACTGTGGACAAAGTGGTTACTTTTTGGTTACTCTTAATTGCGTTTTATTTTTTTTTTTTGAAGTGTAGTGATTGGGAAGAGGTTTTGCTTTTATGGGCATTCTGTTTATTGAGCAAGTCTCTCTCCATTTAAACTTATTTCAAGACTGAATGGGGAATTGAGTTCATCTTCTGCACCATGTTTGTAAATCAACCCAGATGTAGAGGAAGCTTTTATCTGCAACAGTAGGTGGGAATGCAGTAAATTCACATTCAATTAGTACGAAACGCAAATATTTAATACATTGCACAAAAGTGAAACAATAAAGCAAACATTTAAATTTATACATAAATTCAAGAGGCTAAAGTGAGAATATTATGTATATTCCAAATAAAGAGAGCCCAGAAACATCAGGTAAAATGTCAATAATTTTTCTGAAAATAAATTTCTGTTGTCTTTGGATCGGAGTTACAGAAAATCTAAAGCATCAGCTTAGTTTAAGAAAATGCATCTTGTGCATCTTGTCTGACAAGGGAGTTCTGTTTGTACACTAAGAGGAACAGATGTTCACAAAATCAAGCCTGGTTAGATCACCAACTGCAGGCCTGAAAGTTTCACTGTGCAGCTGCCATCAGCTCTGTCCATCCCGTTGGCTCTGCTGACTGTCTAGTTTCAACACTGTTATTAGTATTAGAGGTTTTTTTTTTTTTTTTTTTTGGTAATTTTAAAAGTTTGACAACATACATTGGATTGGTTAATAGCTCCAAAAGGTTGTTTTAAAGAGTTGAACACTGGCAAATATATCATGGTTCAATAGATGGTTCAATTTACAATTTTTGATTTTGCATGAATGAATGAATAAGCACAGATGTGAATAAATTTCCTTTAAATTTCTAATAGTTCAACTTTGAAGAAATTTTTGGGTGATATGAGAAATTTAAATAGTTAGTTCTGTGTTTTAAAATTTGTGTTTCAGGCACCCTGTAGATGTTTGAATTTTTCAGTTTTGTTTTTTTAAAACTTGGAAAAAAGGAAAGTAAAACAATAAGGTGTGCCTTATTTAATATTGACTGGGTTTTTGTATGTTATGGAATCTGTTAATAAAAATTTCTCCTCTCTGGTTTTAAATGCAATCAGTAATTAAAAACTTTTTTTAAATTTTTTTTAAAATATTTAAAAAAATGAGACAAAAATAGCGTTGAATGAAAGAAGCAAACATGGTGTTAAAAATCTCGCTTTTGTTTTGGATTTCATGAAAAAAAAAATTTTTTTAATGAATTTTACCTTTCATTTGAAGTTCATGATTTAATCCTTTCGGGAATATTCTGAAGCAAAAAGCCCCTTTATCTAATTCTGGTGGACGTGATAATTCAATTCCGTGACGTGATCCTGCAGGTCGTCACAGCACAGCCAGCCCACTCTTCCGCTGTCCTCCCTTCCGCTGGATACTCAGCTGCTTGCGTCTGGAAGTTGCTACGGTAACCTCAGTAAACAGGAGGCAACTGAGCGGCCACGCAGCTGTGGGGTCTGTGTCCTACTTTCCTATCAGAGCAGCAAGGGAAGCATTGCCGAGGGTTGTTAGTCGTCCCCCGCCCCCTGGTGGCCACAGGCTGACTCGGCAGCTCGTTTGCTTGTTAATGCACAGCCTGTTCTGAATAAAGTCAAATCCTGCTCTTGTCTGGACAGCAAGTTGACTTTTATCTTCACCGATTGCGTTATCTATTCTAAAAACACATTTGATGTTATTGTTTTTGTCCTGCTCGAACAAATGTTCATGTTTAAATGATCTAGCTGTTGATTTGATGTCAAGTTAAAAAAAAAAGAATGCAAGGATAAAGCCTCACAACATGATGCTGCCACCGCTGTGCTTGCCAGTTGGCTCAGGGGTTTTTGGTTTGAAAATCTCCCTTTGACTATTATAAATACACTTCTGGTTATTGCGCATTTCTATTGTGGCCAAATAGATCCACCTTTGTCTGGTCTGATAATGTAATTTTTTTTCAATGAGAGATTTGGCAAAAATTTGTTTCATTATGTATATTTACACAGCTGTTCTAGTAGTTTTGAACTTATAGCGAGCCTGAGACTTGAATTTTCTTTTCTCTGAGGTTTGGATCAGAGGTTTGGATCAGGTTGAAACTTAGATTTTTTTTTTAACTACATCAAAACTGGTTCTAATTTGTGTTCCTCAGAAGATTGAGCACTTCTGAGGAAATAGTTTTGATCAGAGCAAGGGGCCTTCAGATCCATTTTTGCCTTTCAGGAACATTATAAAGATGCAGTTCACAGTTTATATTTTTGTTGTTACCTCGACAGACCCCTCATTCTGAACAGATTTTATTGTTCCCACCACGGAAATAGAAGGAGTCTTTCTTTATCTAAGTTTAGCTAAACTGACACCCCAACAGCAAAGGAACTAAAGTGAGAAAAAACCCGCTGACGTGTGAGCAGATTGTCTCCACAGCTGCTCCTCTACTGGCCCTGCTGCAGACCCCATTCAGATGTTGCCAGGGAGAGGGAACGTCCACCTAAAAGCCCACCCTCCACTGGAATTCTGCTAATTCCAACTGGAACTCTGTCCACTCTGTTCCCGGCAGCAGGTGTGTGTTGCTGAGCAGGATGCATGAAGTGCTTTCACTTTGGGAAAGTTATGGGATGTAACATAGGAAATCATTAATCCATTCCAAAATAAAAGCAAAATAAAATTTTGTTTTAAAAGTCTAGTTTGATTGTTATTAAAATGTAATGGTTCCGACTTATTTTTATGTCTTGAAAATGTGTTTGTAGGACAATAACCTTTGCTGGTTTTCATGTTTTTTTTTTAAATTGCAGTTACAACTGCAATTTATCCTAAACTTTATATTTCTATTGTGCTCATGGGCTATAGAAAAAAAATGTGGTTACATATATTTTACGTTAAAATAAAAGCCAGCAGTCAAATAATTTTTTTCTGCAATTAAAATTTGAAATGTTGAAAGACTTTTCTGAAATTTATTTTTCTTTTTGTATTCTATAGTGACTTTTTCAAACAGATTTTTAGGCATGTGATTTTGAATCATAGAAACATGGAAATTTTATGTTTTCTCAATCAGAGATAAAACTCAGTATGGAACAAAACTGAATTAATGTTTTCCTAAAAACATTTTCTGAAATATGAATCAACATAAGGTTGAATATTTAAAATTTTGTAGTAAATTAAGGGTACAACACAGTGTTTATCTTGGGTTTTTTTTAGACAATAGTGTGAAATCAGGTGAGAATAGGTTCAGATTTGTTTCAAGTTAATGATCTGAGCTATTTTTTCTTCTCTGACAGAAGCAACATATCAAGCGTGCTCCAAGTGCCACTGAGGGCATATGCAGATTTAATCCAGAGCATTTGGAAACTGTTGTGTTGATATGAGTGTGGGGGGGGGATCAGTGGGTCCTCATAAGTCAAACACATGGAGGGCCAATCAGAAGGACCTGCGTGGGCAGAAAGCCGGTAGGTTACTCTCAGGAAGCTCTTATACACTTGACACAGGACGAACTTAGACTGAGAAGTCTTTTCGGCTCATTGGATTTGACCTGATATCTGCAACAACTTGTCTTTTATTCTGAGGTAATGTACATCTCTGTGTTTGGATCAGTTAAAATGATTTCGAATGGAGTTTGAAAAGTTTTTGAAGCTGCTGTGGCTCTTTGTAGTTCCTAGAAAATTTATTTAATCAGTATTATCTCAGCTACAGAGTTTATTGTCAGGTCAAGCCACACACCTGTCAATTTTCACCTGTTTCACACTCTGGTTTGGTCAAACTGCAGCCATTCATGTCCTCTCCACATCAGCACTCTTTCATGTGTGTGCGTGAGTGTGTGTGTTTTGATCTGTGTGTGTTTGCTGTTGACATGGTGAGCGCTCAGGAAGAGAGACTCTGACAGCTGGACGGCCCGGTAGAAGGCATGTAGCTGCTTCTTGGAGCTATTTATACCCAATCTGACCGGTGTCCGTTCATTCACGCCCCGCATACCACAACATTAAAGTGGTGGCCAATTGCAAATCTATCTCTATTATCACCAAATGATGAGGGAGTGAGATATTGTGGGAATTCATTAACCTTAATGTAAAACCAGAAAAATGTTTGGTTATTAAACAGGACCTTAACTCTACTGGACCCAGTAACCAGGAGCTTTTTTGGACTTAGCATTTTACAAAAACTTTCAATTTTCTCAAACATATTACAACCTAAAACCACTGTCGTAAAATACAATTGGGGGAATTGTATTTAAAAAGCTTAAGAAATGTACTGTGTCAAAACAACTGATATCATGCCCAGATCTGGGGATCCAAGAAAGTTCACCCTAAAATAAAAAAAGAAATCTCCAAAATCTCTAAGATGTCTTCACAGGACACAGCAGGCTGTCAGTACTGTCAATATGAAAGTGTATGTCTGTCCAATCTGAGACGGTGCAAGTTTGACTTTTCTTGAATGTGTGCAAATAGCAGAAAACAAACAAAAAAAAAATGTCATAGTTAAAACTTCTGGAATTATGTTCTTTGGGCAGAGTTATCTAATATTGGGTTATCTGTACATCTGAAGCGAGGCCATTCTTGCACATTAAACCTCATGTCCAGAGAAAAAAAGAGATAAGACATTTAGTGATTAAAATCTGAAATCTGAGTACAGAGATATTTATATTAGTCTAGTCTGATCTAATAAAAAAAAAAAAACAATTTCTCCAATTTCCTCTCGTTTTCACTTCGTAAATGCACTCTGACTGTTACAGAGAGATGGCCATTCCCCGGATGTTGAACTCCAACACACCATTCACCATTGTTACCGGTGGCTCGGAGATCTCTTTTCTGGGTAAAGAAGAGAGCAGCCAAGGATGCGAGGAAGAAGCGGAGTCATTGGTTCAGGCCATCGGACCACATCTGACCCGTGTGATGCAGCTCGGCACTGCCAAACACGTGATAACAAATGACCTGGAGGGGATTCCTTGTGTGTCCATAGTGGCACAAGCTGAGAGTAAGAACATAGAAACACAAATGCTTCAGATCATCAAAACGATTTTTAATTTCAGACAAGGCTAACAGAATCGTCGTTTTTTTACTTAGCAGTTTTTACTATTTAGGTGATAAAAACTTTCCAAACCAACCTGACCTTATGTGAAATCTTGCTCAAATTATTCAATCATGAATGAATTCTGATTATTTTTTTTGTACAAGCCACACCTGGTACTGCTTACTGCCAAACCTGCAGTAATCAAGAAATCAACACAATATCCCCCAGTAGAAAGAAATTAAAGAATAGATGAGAAACAAAAGTCGCTCATACACATCAATCTGGACAGAGACGCTTTGTATGTCAATTTGAGGCATTTTGATTGAGAAAACATGGAGTAGTGAGGGATGGCAGGCCAAATGAAATTACTCTAAGATGAATCATCCATTTGGTCACAAAGGGACATTTTGGGAAGATATTTTGTGGACTGGCGAGACAAAAGTGGAACATTTTGAAACATGCACATCTTGTTACATCTGCTCCAGGACCTAGATGTCTTGCAGTAATTGTTGGTACCATTAACTCCTCCATCAATCAGTTTCAATAAGCAGGACACTGATCGTAAAGAAGTCAAACTCAATGTGACTACAGAAAATAAGATAAAGCAGATTTTGGAGCAACCTAGTCAAAGTCTTCAGTCAGATTGAAATCTGACTGAAATGCTGACAAACAGGCTCTTCGCTTTCATAAATCCTCCACTTTGGCTGAATTTTGATAAATTCCACTGCAGCAATTTAGCTGCAGTGGAGCTAAATTGGAGCTAAATAACCTACAGCCTGTTATGTCAAACACTTTGTTGCAGTTATTGCTGTCAATGACGCCACAACCAGTTAGATTGGTTTGGATATATATGTATTTTTTGATTATCTGAAATAGTGAAAGAAAAATATTTACAGTTGAACACATTTGCAATGGGACAAATATTTTTCCTTATTAATGTATACTATTTTATTAGTGAGATGATGTATCTCAACAGATTAAGTGTTTTTTTGTGTTAAATTTATGCCAGAAGATTATTACAATTCATTTAAATGTATAAGGAGTCAACCTGCTGTTTGACTCTATGGATTAATGTCCTCAACAGTTTTCTCTCTATATTGAATGTTTCAGTTGTCCCTCAACAAAAAGCTAAAAGTAGAACTGCTCACAATTTGACTGACAGCCATAGCTGCCAATGTTTTGTTTCAAATAAACTTTAATTTGGGACAAGGTGAAATGACCTGTACGCTTATATAAACATGCAAAACGTCAAACATCGTGTTCTGTTTTCAGGAGAGGACTTTCAAGAGTTCAGCCCGTCCAACACTCAGAATCCCTGCCTGCGACCTCACCTCCTCCAGAAGCACAGGTATGCACGCCCTCTGACCTGCTCTGGGAAAAACCTCCCACCAGGTTTCTGAGATTTGCCACTGATGACATCACAGTTAGGTCAACTGAATGATCTCGAGCAAAAATGAAAGAGGTATTTCTACAGGTTTGTTTGTGGAGGATGAGTCATGTTGCAACAGGAGCTCAGGCCTCAGATCCTTTCTGTTGTTCAGAACCGTAATACACAGGTGATTCTACACCCAAATTAGCTGATATTGACAAATAAGTCAGAGTTTGAAGCTGAAGTCAAAGTCACTGTCAGATATTTTCCATCTCACCATACTTTTAAAAATATTAGAAATGTCTCATTTATTTCAAGTTGGAAAAACTTCTGCCTGTCATTGTCTACTCTCACTTAGCCTTTCCAGTTGGCTCAAAATAACAATCTTATAGCACTGAAAAGCACTAATCATTTTTGTGCTTATCTCTGAAATTTTACATTCAATTGCCAAAGGTATTCAGACGCTCCTGCAAATAATGAATTATTGTTGTAGTCTCCGACTTCTGGGCATGCAGACTGTTTCTAAAAAATGTTTTTGCTCTTAGGAGCTTAGTGAACTGTAGCATGGTATTGTGATTCTGTGCCACCCGGACAATAAGTCCATTTGTGACATAACGTGGAATCGATTGGAGACGAAAGCAACTCAGCCATGAAGAGCGAAGTCACAACAAATTACAGTGGCATCAGAGGCAGGTGGAGGACCTGCAAATGATACACACAGGTCACACAGCCATCGTTTTTAGCTGTCTGATATAAGTGACTTATGAATAAACCAAGGAGAAAAAAGATGTAAAAAAATTTTTAAAGAAAAGATGATTGATCGAACGTGTGTGAAATCAAGTTAGAAGTTAGAAGATGTTCCAAGGCTTTTGTTTGATATTTAAATACCACCAATCTCTTTAATGTGTCCAATTTATAGATGAGAATATGCTGTAGGTTTGGAATAGAAATAAATTTTTTTATCTTGAACAAATGTTGAATGTTCCCTCTTGACTTCAGATCTTTCAGTGAGGATGCTGCCTTACTATCCAACACAGAAGATGAAGTGTTTCATCAACACCTCCACAGAAAACAGCGCAGAAAGACTCGAAGCCGACCAAAGAGGCTGGAGGAAGGAGGGGAGCCTCCAGTTATCCAGGGTTTGTGGGTGCAAGAGATCGACTGGCTGAAGACGACTGGGATCATACCACCACCTCCTCAGTTCACCGACTCCTATCGCCTGCCGGACTCCTGCATGTCTGGACAGACAGACGACTTGTCCAGCTCTGATGACAGAGACTGCTCAGACTGTGACCATGAATCTGTATTCAGTCACGAAAGCGAGTCAGACTCATCTTGCTGCAGTGAATCTGATCAGCTTGGAATAGAATCAAACATTTCTGATCCGACCTCTGACTTGATGAATGTCTCTGGTTTTCACTCGAATTGGGATTCCGACTCCTTGGAGTTTCTGGAAAGCTTGCAGGAGATTTCAGACTCGTCTCAGGCGACTTTCACATTTAATGACAGTGACTCAGAGTTTGATGAGTTGAAAGGCAGAGTGATGCAGATACCAAAACTCTTCATTTCAACTTTCATTAACCACTCAATAAAACAGATTCTGGATAACTGGACAACCACCAAACCTGCCAATGAAGGACTTATATTCCATCATGTAAGTCTATTTTGTATTCGTTTCTTTTTCATTGTGTCAGTATTGACATGACTGTAAGCTTGTAGTAGGACAAAATAGTTGCACAGTGAAAAAAAACAAAAACTTTATTACTGAAGAATCACCACATAGTTGCTCAATATTTTTGACCATTTAAACATCATATTTTGAGTTTTTGTTGGGGCTTGTATTTCATGACTATTATTTTTACTTCCATGTCCAACAGGGCATAGACAAGAAATATGTACAAAAAAAATACAAACATGAGAGAAAGAAGTGAGCTCAAAAAAGCCTTGAGCACACTGACGATGAATAAGGACATTTTTGTTTGGAATCCCAAACCCATTCTTCAATCCATAACACAAAGGCCACCAAAAAAAGAAGTAATGATTATATGTGTTTTCAAAAAGACAGGACACTTTTTCTCTAAGAAATGTTTTTTTAATTAACAATCTCTTTTCTGTTTAAAACAATATCCAGGCATACTGTAATTTCTCACATTACATAATCATCCACATATTATATTGATGTTCCTGTCAGAAAAGGGATTTTTATAAATTACATATTTTCTATGAATAACAGTAAATTGACTGGTAATTAATTATGTCTGAGGCTTGTAAAATGCATCTGACAAGCTTAAGACCAAAGCTGTCCTCTAGTTTAGCTTCTTTGACTGAAGGGAGACACAGAATGAATTAGGAGCTCACACTATTTAGGAACCTCCAGACATACAATATACTTTTATTACATACTTTCTGTACACATTTTCTGAGAAAGTTTCAAATATACTAACTATATGTTTTGAAAAATAACCTTCTAGTTATTGTTGGTCCCTGTGCTATTACGTTTTCTTTCAAAAATGACCATCATGTTTCTCTTTTTCCTTGTAGATGAAATGCTCTAGCAACACAACTCTTGTGTTGGAGTTTTAGTGATTAACATTTATATTTTGCTTCTTCTTTTAGCTTCTACACCCCAACAGTTTTCAGTACAGAGAGGGAGAGGAGTACTTTGTTCTTCACCACATCCAGAACGGCTCGTATGGTGACGTGTTTTGTGTTCGGGATAAAAGCAGTGGCTTCAAATGTGCTGCCAAAAGGGTCAGAACAGAAACCAACCAAGAGTCAAACTCCAAGAAGTCTTTTGGATTGGCTAAAAGCTGAAACTTGTCATGTTGTGGTCCAATCAGATTCCCCTGAGTCACTTTAGCAGTGAGGAGGTGAAGACATGGAGCGCCCTGAACTCCCCTCGAGTTGTGGAGCTGTTTGGAGCAGTGAGAGATGGACTGAACGTCATACTCTTTATGGAACTAAAACCAGGTAAACTGAACTACATCTGCTGAAAAGTGCTTTATTCTGGTCAGAAAGAATAAACATGTGCCAAACTTTTCCAGCTTGCTTGGCCCAGCTTCTAAAAGAGATTACCTGCCTCCCTGAAGATTTAGCCCTGCATTACCTTCATCAGACACTGGGGGCTCTTGAGCACCTGCACCACAAAAAGGTGGTTCACCTGGATGTCAAAGGTGCGTTTCTGTATAAGTCTCAAAAACCTAATCTATGAATTTACTGAATCAAGGATGGCATTTTTGGGCAGGAAATGTACATGTTTTTGTTTTAATTACTGTACCATTGCCATCATTAGACCTTACATCCAGAGATGAAAGCTCTGTATTTAATTTAATTTGATTTAGTCTCCATCTCACAGAAAAAAATCCAGACTAACTTGTCTTTATAGATCAATATTTTGAAAATATAAACAGAAATCTCAACAACTAAATAGGGTTAATTTTTGGAGTTTTCCTTTTGCTTGAGCAAAACTCCCATCACAGCCAATAATCTATTATTTGTAGTGTGTTTTTGCTTCGTTTTGGATGCAACTAAATGTTTTGATGTATTTTTATTTGTTTTAAAATCATGAGAAGAATAGTAAATCAAAAATCCTGATGGGGAGAATACATCTCGGCGGTTCATCATTTTTCAGTGACAGCTTTAGTAATGATCAACGCAAGGAATCAGTGAACATCAGCATAGTCCAAACTGTCATTTCTGAAAACGAAATAAAATGATAATAACTATCTTGGTCGTGTGACCAGTGTTCCTTCACTTTCTGCAGTGATAAAAGACTGAAGGTTATCAACAACAAACACCTCTCCCTTAACCCTTAGTAATCTCTCCTGAGAGGATTTCACCGTTCCACTTTTATGGTGTAGTTGAAGATGACAAATGATAAAGTGAAGCCACAAGTCTGTGATTTATTTCAGGAGATTATGGCTTGAAATGTTGCTTCTGCAGAAGCAGGGAACCTTCATACACCCATTACTCGGACTGTCACTGATAGCCTCCTAACATTACATTAACAAGTCAATGTTCCACAAAGAGTGCCTAATGCAAACAGGCTGCCACACTGAATCCTGTGTGTTGATTTTATTCCAGCTGACAATGTGCTGCTGTCTGCAGACTGCAGAGACACGTTTCTCTGTGACTTTGGTCTCTCAGAGATGTTAGATGACAACAGACGGAGCACTGAAGCATTTAGAGGTGAGCTGTTGCTGAAACTTCTGCAGAAAGCTGATACGCAGATTTGCATTACTGAAGTGGTCTAGACTCTAGAGCGCTGCTTTCATAAACAACAAATTATTGAAAGAACAATGGTAACTTTCAATTTACTTCATACTTTTCAAATATGATCATGCTTTGCAGAATCATGCAGAAAATCATGCTATGTGGGATAAAGTGGCTGTTATCAAATGCCATGAACAAATGATCAAGAATAATAATCATCACATATACATCAAATATATAAAGGTCCAACTTCAGTTTCGGGACTTTCCAAAGCATCCTACCTTTCGCTCTATTTTTTCCTTAATTTGTGGCTATTTCTTGTGGTGGTTTTAATGTTTTTTGCCTGGCTTAGCCGCACTGAGCAACTTTCTCTCAGTACGTTTTACTTTCACTACTGTGGTGTCAATCAGGAATAAAGAAATAGAAAATTTGAACTTGTCTGAACACATTTTACAATTGTGTCACATAAAAAATGACTGGTCTCTTTGGGTCATGGAGTAATATCTTTCCTAGGTTTACTACAAACACATTTGGTTAAATATATTTAATATTTCATCATAAGTCAGTGTGTAGGTCATCCTATTTTTATGTACAATAGAAAAAAAAAGTCAACAAAATTTCGTTTTGGAGCCAATGAAGTGTCAAATGTATTGGATCCAAGAAGTGCATGGCAGTAAAAATTCACGTTAATTCTGAAATATAACTCCAGTTCTTGTTTTTTTATGTATTTGTAGGAACAGCCTTTCCTGGCACAGAGACTCATATGGCCCCAGAGGTGGCTCGAGGAGATCAAGTGTGCTCCAAGGCAGATGTGTGGAGCAGCTGTTGTATGCTACTGCATATGCTCAATGGGTGCCAGCCGTGGATACGCTACTATTCCCATCCACTGTGTCTCAAGGTCAGAATGTCTATTTTACTGTTATTTTCAAACTGGACTGGGAAAACGTAGATGAAAATCAATAATCGTGGTTGCTCTTGCATTTTTGTCATAGATTGTCAATGAGCCCCCACCTTTATGGGAGGTGCCGTCCAACTGTAACAACTTCACAGCCAGCGTGTTTAGGGCTGGACTTCGGAAGGACCCGGACAGACGAGCGTCGGCCAAGGACCTCAGGAGAAAAACCACCAAAGCCCTCAGAGCAGGTTCACACATTACATTGTAACATGACGAATGGGATTCTATCAAATCAAATAACATGCACTGTGGGATAAAGTGGTTGTTATCAATGCTAAAAAGAATCTTATTAGAAAATTAGACTGGACAGGACATGGGTAAGAGCTTTTGTTAGAACAGACAAATTTCCACCAATAGTTTAACCCCCCCTTACCTTGCCTGTCTTTGTTGTCACAATTTAAATATATATATCGATATACATATTGATACATATCGACATATATCTGTATATATCTATATATATTTATATATCGCTATATATCTATATATCTATATCTATATATCGATATATCTATATCTATATCTATATATATATAGATATAGATATAGATATATCGATATATAGATATAGATATATTGATATATATATGAGAAAAATATCTTAACTCTGAGTAGTTGTTCTGGGTGCCTGTTAGCTTAACTCAAAGTTGCTATTATCTTAATTGATAGTTAATTTTGGTTTTATTCTGGGTAGCGGTTAGCTTGATTGTTAGCTTTAATCATTGGCTATAGTTTGGGATTATTTAGGTTGTAGCATTCTGATTCTTATTAGCTGTTTGCTTACCCATTTTAGTATTATCTTTTACCTTTGAAAACTGGCTACTTGGCATTCGGTAATGTTAAACCCATACTATGAACAATCAGTGTTCAAGTAATCAGAGTAGTAACTGGTTGAAAACAACCTTAACTTCATAGTGATATTTTTTACATACAGTTGGAGGTTTGAGCTCTTCCTCCATTAAAGCCGCCTGTGAGAAGTTGCATCATGGCCAACGGGAAGACAAACTCTTTTCCCCAAAAGAACCATCATCATTCTCCTCCTCCTTCTCCTCCTCCTCCTCATCATCATCCCAAGCCACTTCCTCAGACCCAGGTGTGTTTTGGGTGAGCCCTTGGAGGACTGTAGCAATGGGCGAGGACACCACTGAGTGGAAAGGTGACATCGCAGAGACAGATTTTAGAACAGGGGCGTGGAACTCCCAACCGAAGTCCCTGCGAGTTGACTGTGACGAGGAGTCGGAGACCGGCTCTGAGTCAGAGGTGGACATATACATGGCTGTGGAAGAGGAGTGCATTCAGGAGAAGTGGCTGAAAATTGATAAGGACTATGAGGGAGACTTTGAGGAGGAGGATGAAGAGTGGGATTCCTCTGGCTCCACTGAGTATCTACGTACGCTCAAAGGCTTTTTCCCTTTGCTGGAGAGAGGCCTACAAACAGATGAAGTTCCATGGGGTTCAGAAGAAGAGCTGGAATATCTCAGAGATGGTGAGCATAGAATCATCTGTTAATAATTTGTCAAAAAATTGCAAAATATTTGACTTCTTGAGCAGATATTTAGCCAAAAAAAGCATCCCACACAGTGACAGCAATGTTGAAAGTTTGATGTCTGTATGGATGTTTTTACTACTTCAAAGTCTAAAGTAGTTACAAAAATAAAAGGCATATTTATTGTAGTGAGTCATAATATCTAACTCTATCTTCCATAAGAAAGATAAAGAATAACTCCTGGTTTTAACTCTAACCCCTCACTGTAAAGTGTTCTTCTCAGAGGTTCCTGTAGGGACAACAGTCCAGACTCCATCCCCAGAACCTCGAGATGAACCTCCATCTTGTTTCAGCTGCTCAGACACATCACAGATAGATGAGGTGCATAAAGTCATACTTGCAGCGGATGACGAATGAGTCCACTAAGGCAATTTTTAAGAATATCTTTGTATATTTAAGGACTCAGAACATTCATCTGATGACCTCAGTTCTGGAGTGTTTTCTTCCTGCAACAGTCACTCCGGTGGACAATTGGTATGGATACCTTCAGCCGATCAGACATCTCCACGCTGCTTTGAGGGTAACGTCATTGTATAAGTCCTTCACTGTATTTACGCACTATTCAACTGACTGGTTGAATTACAAAAAACAAACAAACAAAAAAAAAAATCTCTGACAAATTTCAGGTGTTGACATCTGGATAGAGAACCTTCAAGGGAAGTGTTTTAGGATCAAAGAACGGCGGAAAGTCAAAGTGGGTCATGTTGCCATAGGAATCAGTGATCAGGTATGAACCTGCTGTTCATTCTGAATAAGCCTATATGAATAACTCTCTGGCATATTCATATAGATATGATCAGATTAGAGCTGATTATTCTTGTCAGTAGGGGTGCACAACTTGGAGGTTTGTCATGGTGGCCTTCAGAATTTAATATCTGTCTTGCACTGTAAGTCTGACTGTATGTCTTTTGCAGTCTATCCAGTGGTTATGATCTCTTTTATTGGCTTAAATGTATCTCTAGCATGGAGTGAAACATCGACATAATGATGTGTGTTCAGTTTTGTTCAGGGGGTTCTATAATTTTAAGAAAGCAGTTGTCAATTAAAGAAGGATTTATTGTCTAATTTGAATGAAATCAGCTGCACATGTATTTATTGCTAATACCTGACCAGTTTTAAATTCTTCCAACAAACCTGTTTTGCAATGGGAGTAAATTAGTTTTGCGTCCAACTGGGAGATGCTCTTAGAGTACAATTTATTTTTCCAGGTTCTTGACACCCAACTGTCCTCAATCCTCACAAATCCTCCCATGTGTATCTCAGATCTCAGAGAAAACCTTCACTTTGGAGACTCTGGACAGAAAGATGGTGTCCTTCGAGGAAGAGATCAGTGAATCGGGATCATGGTTCCGCTGTGCTCCTGCTCCTGACAGATGTCAGCGCTGGAGCTGGAGAGTCCAAGACGGCAAGCTGGAGCTCAGAGAATGAGACCGACATTTAGTAGTCAGTTAAACTAATTCTGTTGCAAAAAATGACGGAAAGAAACCACAAGAGCTCAAAACGCTCAGAACTTGAAGGAATGTCACATTGTTGTGACCTGGGAGCTCTGAACTTCTTCATTCTGATCTTCACAGTGTGTGGAGGTTGCTGACCTACGTTGAGCTCTCATTAGCTTTATGATGCCATCCTGCTGTGGGAATAACACGATGGGATCTCCAGGAGGTGTGTGGCTAGTAAACAGAAAAATATATTTGTATTGTTGGAACAAAAGACTTTCTCTACAACATCCTGCTGCAGCAGGACTGGCTTGTTGCCACAAGGCAGTGAGGCCCACGGAGGATTCTCGCTGTTCAAACACCTTTCAGCACACTCAGCAGATATTCACTAGACCAGGCTTTGAGTTCCCAGCCCTCAAAACCCAGTTGTGATATCTGCAGCTGATGCCTTCGGCTCTTTAAATGAAACAAATAATTTTGTGCTTTACATTTGATGTCTTTCAGAGATAGTTTGGATGTGCATTTCACATTGTTTTCTCTAATCAGTCTGCAAACTCTGATTTGTCTCACCTCATCAGCAATGCTGCTCCTCACTTTGTTTTGCGTCTGTCTGTTGTGCTAAAAATCCAGGACATGTGCAGTTTCAGAAAAGTTAAACCAACATCAAACTAAAATCCTTGACCGTCGAGAGTTTATGAAACATATGATTTTAGACATTTTATATCTGTACAATTATGTTTGTCTGTGAATTACTCTAACCTTAATACTGTTGGTGTTCCTAATATGCAGTATTATTTTTTTGATACATGTTTCTATTATTCAACAGTAAATATTCAAACTTATAGTCTTGCAAGATTATTGCCTTACCCTCGTTTGTGCAGCCACACAGCTGACTATTTAGATAACAACACAAATGTAATTTTTCCAGTGACGTCAAAGTGTCTGTAAACTGTAAACAAATAGGGGAGCGGTGACACCTTGGTTGTTTGCTAAGATTATTTACTTGCTTTACTTGCTTGCCTTCTTTTTGTTTTTCATTCCCGTCAGTTTTACAACTGGAAACGAAACTAGTTCTCAGCTGCTCTGCGAGTTCTCTTTGCTGGTCAAACCCAAGTTTTAGGATTAAGATTATGAATTTTATCAGCATTTTTCTCAAGGCTTTGCGACTTTAATGACAGCTACTTTTTTCTGTTGCGTCTATCTCTAAAACTGAAATATTGCTTTTTGCTGTGTTTCCTAGTCATTGCTTTGTTCAGATGCATTCTTACACTTGACCAATGCTTTAAATGTTTGCCCAGACATCTGCACATATAGCACATTGTAAATGTTTACAGCTCTAATAAACAAGTAAAGCTTTCAATCTGTTACGTGTCAGGAAGTGTTTCACACATGTGATCATGTGACTCATCACATGGTTTCCATTATATGATCAGGATTTAAAACCTGAAAAGGGACATTGTTACCATTGAACACAGTGAGATTTAGATTTTATATGAACAAAACATGACTTAAGTTTTGATAAGACATTTACCTCATGAGATAACAATTACTCAGATATTATTCCAAAGGTAACTTATTTAGATTTATGACTAATTGATACCAAAGCAGCTTCTTCTATAGTAAGCATAATAGTACTGAAATATCCACATTAGACTAACCATAGTCAAAGATGTTATGAAGATATTCAGTATTTTAGCTGATTTGTCAATGAAAAAACAACAAACAAGTAAAACAGCTCATTATCCAAGATTGACGTTTGGTCATAAACACCATTTTAGAAAATTTAACCTTGTTTCAAATATTACATCTTTAATTAAAGGGACTTTAAAGTAAATTTTCTGATCACAAATTCAATTCTGTTATTGTTGTTATTTTCATTCCTGTTGCTGTTGGTGATCTTGAGATCATTTAGCGACCTTTAGCTGACCTCTGTGACTTTCAAATACACCAGATGTTTTTTAAGTTTTTTCATCTTGTGATCCTTTTTAATGTTTTTTTATTTGTTGTATTATTAGTCAAATTGGCAGTTATTGTGTGAGTTCAACTTAAACTCTAATGACTTGAGGATAAATATTAACTGTCTAAAGGTAGTCTCCCCCAGAGGTTGCTTAGCCTCAAAAGCAAACATGAAGAAGTTTATGTACTGGTGCTGTAATGTCAAAACCATTTTCAGATGTTCACAGAATTTTTTTTTCAGAAAGACTATGAACACAGTAATAAGCATCAGGAAGTTACAATGTCAAACTGGCAATGTGGCCTATTAGATCATCAACTTTAGGAGTGCCTAACCTAAAACTGGAGTGACTCGTTAGGCCATGTATGGTAGGTTGTTGTAACATATAATCAATCCACTGCTGAGTCTGCTTTTGACTGAATAACAATTGTCATAGACATAAAATACATTTTAATTATAAATAAAAAAAGGTATATTTTTTAAAAACAACTAGGATTGCTAGAGTTTGTTTTTTTATTTTGCTGTATTTAGTACTTTAAGACCATGCTAGACTTGAATAGTAACTTTTTCTGATTAAGTTCTTCCAGGTCAGAAAGGACATTTCTTTTCTTACACATGCATTGTAGGCGTCAGATACCCACTAGAACACAATTCTAATTTAGAATAAAAAGACTTGATTATTGACAATTTTACTCCTTGAATATTTTCTTGTTAAAGATGTCTAATATAATTCTTTTGAAGAAATCTAAAACAAAACCTATACCCAGTAAATGTTCTGACATTGTCTTCTAGTGCTTTCAGCAAGAAGTCAGATGTTAGCAAGATGCTTATTCAGAACCAGCTGGATTGAGTGTACTTTAAGGGGTAGTGTATTTTAAATGTAAAGTGAATATGTCAGCGACACATAACATATTTAAAGCAGTTCAAAAATATTCTTTGACCCAAACAGCACATTTGTCTTTTCTTTAAAAATTGTATTTCTTATGAACTGAAATCATAATCATAATTTTATTGTCATAAGACTCATTCCTAAAACTAACCACAATTTTATAAAATGCTGATTTTATATGAATTACATCTTGGATTTAGGAAGCATTTGGACAAAGAAAATATGAAGTTCGCGTGTGTGCTTTCAAGTATTATTTGGTACATTAGCTTGCCATATACGCATCACTTCCTCGACATTTTGTACACTGTGCGCACAAGGATGTCCGCCACTCTGATTGGACCGTTGGATAACCAAGGCGGGTTACCAGTTACACTATTTGCGCTGCGATTGGCCGGGGCTTCAAAGTGGGAAGTACGCCGGTGTCTCCCTGGTTGCGCAAGACGCCATTTTGGAGTGACAGTGAAAGATAACGCAAAGATCGGGTTGTCGACTCTGTAAAGGTAATGACTGACTAAGAGACGTTTATTTTTGTACTTTAATGTTTCAATGTGTATGTTAAAAGTATTCATGTCCGAACTGATCGATTTGAGCGGCGTTTGGAGTGACGTCACGATGTTCACTGAGCAGTGACGCGGCAGTTCGCTAACGGCAGCTAGCGCGCTAAAGCAGTTCCTGTCACGGCTGAACTGAAAGCAGCCACTGCGAGTTCCTTTTACCGAACTGGGCTTCGGTTGTAACTACGTTTGTTTAAAATATGTGAGTGTTGTAAGCCTTCGTTATGTGTTGTCGTGGGTCAAAATACGTACGTTTTAGATTGTCAACGAATCCAGTTAGCGGCTAGCCAAAGCATCCGCCCTTAGTGAAGCTAACGTGGCTAAAGCTACACGCCGTTTACTTTAGATTTAACTGGTTTTATTCTTGCCCATCCTGCCACTCGTAAACGTTTGTTTAGTTTGAGGTCGAACTATAAACAAATAACTGAAACTAAAAAAATTAACAATGCTTGTTACTAATACCAGGTTTACCAGTCGGAACAGGCCTTTCTTATCATGTAGCTCGTTAGCTGTTAAGCTTATCCGGGTGAACGAAAGCTGGATCACTGTAGGGGCCTATAAAATCCGTTTTAGTTTTGCTCAGATCCCGTTTTGTTGTTTTAAGCGCGGTACAAGCATTTCTATATTCCTTCAAATATTTAAAAAGTGGCAAAATAATTGATAAAATAAACTGACTTTAACAATTGAGTACGGAAATATTGTAGAATTTTTGATTAGCTGTGGATTTGAACAAAAGCCGACAAACTGGCCAAAGATAATCAGGAACAAAATGTTTTTTCGAAACTTGAGGAATTTCAAATCATAATTTGACTTTCCTTTCAATGAAATTCCACTTTATTTTACAACACAGTTCGTCACTTGAGGAGCAAGTATGTTCATAAAAAATGTAACTTTTAGAGGACTGACAAGTGTGCAGAGATGTCAGATCAATAGTTTTTATTTTGTTGTTGTTTTACGTGTCCCTTCAAGTATATGGAAGAGTTTAAAAGTTTGTAAGGAAATTTAAGTGGTTTGTTTGGGGCGAAATTGAAAGGTTCATCATTACAATATGCCTCAGAGAAGATCAGATCTTTCTTTAAAATTCCGTTGAATCAGGGCCTGAAAAATGAAATGTTAACCACTTTTCTTTTATTGTAGCTTAAGTTATCTGCTCATCAGTGATATTCAAAGTCGTACAGTCTGATGCAACGTTGTTTCCTTACTCCTTAAACCCCATCCTAACATCCTCAATGTGCTAATGAATCAAAAATGTTAAGTAGATGTGAGAATAGGTTCTGTCTGGTTCTATTAAATGTTTATAGATAAACTTGTTTCAGCACACCAAGCTTCTTGGTTCTGCAGAATTTTTTTGAAGACTTATTTTGCTTAATTTCATCAGTTTTTAATGAGTTTTTAGCTGTAAAAGATTGACAGTTGTTTTGGTATTTGATCTTGAGGTGCTTTGCCAAAACTACATAAATTATACTTATTTTTCTTAATTTCTAGAAGCCATTTGATTATCAGTTTTAAATTTTAACGTTTTGCATTGAATTCTGTCTTTTTTTGTTTTTCTTGGTACTGCAGCGTTTTAGCTGACTCTTCTTTGACTGTAGAACTTGTGATTTTTGATCAGTAAATTTGCAGTAACATTTTTTAAAAAGAAGTTAGGCTTCTGTCTGTACCTCCTTCTATTATCTATTCTCAAACAGTTATTCTTATCTATTGTGTATGAATTTAGTATTGATGACGGTGAAATGATTTTGATTGATTAAAAAGATGCATATATAAAATAATTCTTCATGTCTCATTTGTATGTTTTCTAAAAAAATCTTATTATATGTGTCCAGTTCATCAAAGTTTTTTTTTCTGTAATGAACTAAAAATTTTGTGGCTGTGTATATTTTTGAAAACAAATTTTGGTGAAAGCAGAAATGTGGTTCCCCTTGCTGGTTGTTTCTATCCTAGCAGAAGTACTTTAAATCATTCCTCTTATTTTCCCATAATTTCCTTATTGTGGAACAGAAAGCACCCTTTACAGTTCACTTAATTCTTGCTCCCTAACGGTTTTTCTCTCCTCCTTCTCAGCTTTGCCAACATGGGGAATGTATTTGCAAGCTTATTCAAGGGCCTGTTCGGCAAAAAGGAGATGAGAATTTTAATGGTTGGCCTCGATGCTGCTGGAAAAACAACAATCCTATATAAACTGAAGCTCGGAGAGATAGTCACCACCATTCCCACTATTGGTATGGATCTCTTTTTATCTGGCTGCACAGATGACAAAATATTTTTTGTGATGCCTAAATTATGGCTCATGATAGAATTTTAAGTAACAAAATAAAAGTCGTGCATGTTTAAACAGTTTTTGTACCAACTTTTGTTGGCAAAAGACCCTTTAGCCAGTGACTCATCAGTGCTTTTTCTTCCTCCTGCAGGTTTTAACGTTGAAACGGTAGAATACAAGAACATCAGCTTCACGGTGTGGGACGTGGGCGGTCAGGACAAAATCAGGCCGCTGTGGCGCCACTACTTCCAGAACACTCAAGGTGAGGGGTGACTTCATCTCGACCCGCAGCAAGGACAGTGTTCACTTCTGCCTATAGGTGGCCTTGTTGGTGTACATAAGATGCTTTTAAAGCAAGTGAACCAGTGACTCATGCTCCATTGTTCCATTCTGAAAGGATGTATTGTTTGACTCTTCCCTTTCCTGAAATCTCATTCATCAGAAAATGCTATGGACTGCAGAGCGCGATTGCCATCTAATTGTGTTCCTAGAAAAAACCCCAACAAACTGCAGATGTTGGTTTGACATCTTGATGAAGATGTTTTTTTTATGTACCAGAAAGTTAAAGTCATGATTGAAGAGAGTTGGAGGACATTAGTTCTCTCTGATCAGTGGACTGCTTGAAATATTTGTTTAAAAGTGGTTTTGCTCTATCTAAGGTTTACCTCATTTGTTGGGCAGTAGTTCCAAAGCTCTTATTCCA